CACCCCCCCCCCCCAAGTTTGTGTTTTCTTGTTTTCTATCAGGCAGTGGTGAACGAGTGTGTTTTGTCGACGATGAGATCACTCCGAGGGAACATGAACCTGGAAAGATTGTGTGGAGGAAGACAGGGGACCATGGACGGCTTTTGCCTGATGGAAGCATTGTTTGTTTGGGACGCAGTGATGACCAGATTAAGCGGCAGGGAAAAAGAATGAATCTGGATGTGCTTGCTCAGGTATGTCCTGGCTGGATGAATCAAAGTGAAAACAGCTAAAGGGAGTTCGGACTTATTGATATAACATGTATACATGTACTGTAAAGTAAGTGGTTGTCCAGTACATTGTAGATTGGTATTACGTATTTTTAGTGACATAACTGCTGACTGTATGAAGATTTCTCCTCTGGATAAAGTTGTTGCAAAGTTGCATGCTCGTTGCTGTTTCTACGCGACACAGCAGATAGGGTAATTGAAAAGGATTCACTATGAATCAAACCAGCCATTTTCCAAAAAGTCGCACTATGTCTTGAGAATATATTTTTACTCCCTGGTGTCCAATCAAAACTTCTAGTAAATGTGCATACGAACAACTAGAAGGAAAATATTAAAGGGCTACTTTCGAATAGATAAAATTTTCCAAAACAGTCCTTAACATGATCTGATCTTGTTATCTCATATTCATTTTCTGTTCTCTTGTGGGTGTCTCACTATGTTGGCTGTTACTCCATGCCTTTTACTGAACAGATTATTGCAAATTACATTTCCCTTTAGAAAAGAATAAAATAAAATTTTCCTGTTTTGATCTATCCAGGTGTGCAAAGAACTTCCTTGGGTTCTTGACTGCACAGCCATTGCTGCTGAGGACAAACTGAAAGTTTTCATAGTTTTGGATACGTTATATGAGAAGCAAATAGGAGATGAAATAAGCAGCACTTCCCAGATGGATGAACCTTCAAGTGGCAGCAAAAGTACCAACTCATGGCACAAGTTGGAAAACATTTTAGTGAAACACCTCGGAGAATCATTGCCAGCCTGTTACCGACCAGATCAGTTTGTGTGGACGACTTTTTCATTTCCTGTAACTGCTCATGGTGAGACATTGTTTATTCAGTTGGTCACAATGTCGGATTTTTTGGTATTTATATATATACATTTAGCCCTCATATTCTTTGTTCATTGTTTCAGGAAGCAACATCCCTGCACTCCGGACATGTCCATTGAATGCTCTCTGCTCTCTCCAAAATGTTGCCGAGGGTCCTTCCACTGATTGTGCCAGTGCACATCTGGTTGAACGTTCTTCTGTTCTTTCCAGCTAGGATGCCAGATTTTCTGCTTCCTTTTTGTATTCCCAAAAGCATCATCCTCTCCACAGCAGTACTGGCCTCTGCCTCTCTATCTTCTTCCTCACTCAGCTGGCGAGAGAGACATTTGAGGATCTAAGCCCTCATAAAAAGTGTTTAAATTACTGGTTACTTTAGTTAGGATACAGGGCAGAAGCTAGCTTTGAGTTGTGTCTAGGGGAATGAATTTGCAGCATTTTTCTCCTATTATGTTGTTGGTATCTATCTACTGGGGAAAAATAGAAAAAGGAAAGGCGAGGGGTCAAACTTGGGTCAGAACTGTATAGATATCAACTCTACCTTGAATAGACATTATTTCAAACTAGGTGGTTCTAGGATAGAAGGGGTGGAGGCGGTGTCAGATAAACTTTTGTGGAATGCCATTCCAGAGAAAATAATGTTTTTAAAAAACATTTCAGAAAAAAAATGAAAATAAAACTGTTTCAAAAATATTTATATGACAATTTCTTGGACTTCTACCCTGCTAATATAATTTCTGTTTTTATTATTATTCAGATATCATTATTATCATTATCATAAAACTGATGTTTATGCAGTTGGCGGATGCAGTGATGCGATTTGTTCCTACTCTCCTATTCAAATATCTATCATCCGTATCTCTCTTCTTTTTTTTTGGTATGGTATTCCCTAATAAAACGTCTCATCTTCTGCACTTATTTGACCTATTTGTGTTACAAGTGCTGTAAAACTCTTACTAAAACTAAAACTGTGAACATTGACAGGCAAACTGGACAAAAAAGCTCTGATGTCCATGGCCGGGGGTCAGTTATCAGTGGACACGGCGTCTGTGTGGGAGGACCCGCTGACGTGGTCCAGGACATTGTGGGCTGTGAGTATCTGAAACTTAAAAGAAAAAGTCATGCTTTCACTTTCTGTACACTGATAATGAAAAAGGCGTATATCGTTGTAGTTACAAGAGAATATACTTTATAATTCCCTTTTTATTTTACCCTGAATTACTGTGGTTGGTGGAAACTTTGATGTGGTTTGTGTTCTTTCTTTCCTGTCAAAGATGTATCACCATTACCTGTCTTCCTTCTTTTCTTTGTGTTTTACCCTCTAGTAAGATCGTTAATCTTCGGTACTTATGTGATCAAATTGAGTTGCAAGGGCTGTAAAACTTGTACCATACAAAACCTAACCTTGATTAACCAGATCATTTAAAATATTTGGAGTTATTCCTTTTCTTCATGACATTGACCATTTTTCTTGCAACAATATGAATTTTTTTAGAGATTGTATTTTTTACAATCATGTTTGTAGCCAAAGTGTTTGCTTATTTTAGCTAATCTTATTAATTTTCAGCTGTCTTCCTAAATACCTCTATGATAAAGCATTATTTATGTTTTTTTCTATCTCATGGATGGTTATGGTTTTTGTTGTCATCTTCTAGACTAGTCTGTGCTATGAAAATTAGTTTGCTCTTTCAATTTTTCATCAGCGTTTATGATAAAGTTATATTATTATCTTTTATATCTCTTTAACAATGTGGTTTTCAGTTTTGTCATCTGATTACTGGTGGGGGTTTTTTGTCCATCCACTTTCAGTCTCACCTTCCCAAGCAAGTTAAAGATATCCGAACAAGTGACACATTTATAAACCTGGGCGGAGATTCTTTGGCTGTCACACGTCTGGTCAACACCCTGGAGCTGCTGTTCTCGGACCTGACCGCCGATTGGTTTGACCTTCTGCTCAATAAAAGATTTGGTGCCTTTGTAGAAGAGCTCCAGTCCTTGGTGCGTCATTCTTCCAGGAAAATTGTCGGTCAAATCCACTCCTCTGGGTCGGTTGAATTTTGTGATTTAGGGACAGAAAAAGAAGCCAGTGCTTACGATAGCGGTATCTCACTCAAGCCAGAGAGGAAAAAAGTTAGGCTACAGATATCGGAGTCTTTGGATGTTAATCGCAAGTCTGTGGATGTCGATAACAGCCATGTTTTCCGGGAAACCTCTTCCAACTCACCTGAAGAATGCAAGCGGAATGGTCTTACTGCTGAAAAAGGCTTGGGACTTGCTTCAAATCAGAGCAAACCAGTGAAGACAGTTTCTCGAGGAAACAAATCTGTGTTGATATCGAATCATCCAGACCCACGCTCTAGCTCAATGACTTCTGTACCATGTGACTCGTCGTCTGTACACGAGCCTGATTTGCTACGGGCTTGTGCAGCGTCTCATCATACTACCCATAATTCCTTGAGTGTAGATCAAAGAGCTAATGGGGATGCGGAAGATAAAGAAACCTTTCGAGCAAGCTTAAAGTGGAAATTTGACACCAAAAAGTGTGTGGATGCCTCACCTCTCCTGGTGGTATTTGAGTAAGTTAAGAATCCTTTTACACAATACATTGTTACAGTATTGTATACACATGGGGTAGTGCTTGAAAAATTATAGGATGTAGCTGAGCAATTGAAGGCATAAGTTGTAAGGGGAGGAAAAAAGTACCGTTGTAATGATCTCAAGGCAAATGTAGAGAAAAATAAGCTGACTCAGTTGTAGAGCTAAAAGAAGGTAATACAGTTGACTACAGATGAGTTGAAGGAGTTGGTGTCGTTGGGGGAGTAAAAAAAAAAAATTTGTTTTAATTTTTTTTTTTTTTTTTTAAATAAATAATCAGGGCATCCAAAGTTCAACTTAAATGTTGGGCTGTAAAGAAGAAGAAGAAGATGATCAACCTAACTGAAGCTCAGTACAAGTGTAGTCGGGTGTCAAAAGATTCTATAATTGTGTTCCTTTCTATGTTTCCCTTCTTTGCCTCTAGTAAATTACGAGCTGAGGATTCCGATGATGCCACTTTCTAATTTTGTTCCTAATTAGGCACTTAACCCTCACCACACTCCTCTTCCCCACCTCCCCCCCACCCCTATGAACTAACTCCTTCAAATTTTTTTAGGTAAAAGTAAAAGCAAAAATGTCAGCATCGTGTGAATGAAGAAGGGAGCAGTAAAGGCCTGTGCCAATAAAGAAGGTCAAACGTCTTTTGCAAAGTTTTGTAGTGATACTACTATTATATATTACTACACTGGAAATTTAGAGGCTTAAAAGTCTGAAAATCACTCTGAAAAGTTTGGACAAGGAGGTTTTGAACTTGAAAGTCAGTCAATGAGGTAATAACATAGCTGTACTCATTTTTTTTTTTTCTCCTTAAGGTAGAAAAGAGACTGAACTATTGTTAACCCTTACAGCCCCAGCCATTTTTGTGCGCTCCCTAACCCCAGTCCCAGCCAATACAGCAGTATTTCAGAAAAAGAGGCATTATTTCTCAAAAGTGAGAATGTAATGTAGCTTTGATAAAAAACATATACCAATTTTTTCAGATAAATGAACAAATAATAAGAAAATTAAAGTTTAATCAAGTTCGCAATAAAAATTTCGAAAAGTGCGCGAATTCGGTACTCCCCGAAACTGAGAATATACACTCTTGGGACGGAGGGAGGTACAAGCGCTGCTGAAAATATGTGCGCTTGGGGCTGGAAGGGTTAAAGAGCCTGACCGGCTGTCACAATGCAGGTCCCTGTGATGACTGAGAAACTGTATTGGAATAAAAGGCCAGCCAAAAGATTTATTGGGAAGTTGTGTGAGCCCAAGGTTGTAATCAATACAAAACTATTACATCACGCTTTGATTTGTCACAAATTAGTAGGTCTTTTAAAATATACTGTTTGTTTGTCTTGATTAATTTTTTTAATTAAAAGAAAAAAAATCATGATTTATCGCTAAAATTTTAAGTAGCCTTTTTCTTTGACGTTCGTTTTCTCACTTTACAGTCACTGCGCTCTGGCTTTGATTGGCTCCCACTCCGGTCAGTTCTCTGCCATAGACCTGGACACTGGTCAAGAGCTGTGGTCAGTCACTCTCCCTGATCGTATCGAGTCTTCTGCCGGCAGCTCGCTAGATGGCAAGTTTATCATTGTGGGTAAGGAAACAGTGAAATCAAAAGGAGAATGGGATTGGCATAGCAGTAATGTTCAGCGTCTATTAGACTGTCCCCGTGGTTTTATGCAAAAAAAATTCAGAAATTATTCAAACTGTGCCCAAAAATGGGAAATTATGCGATTTCGTTTATTTTAACAAAGAATGATAAAGGAAAATAAGCAGAAATTATTCAAAAAATGATCAAATATTGCTAAATTATGCGGGGTGCATAAAACCACGGAGACAGATTAGACCCAGTGACTGCAAATCAAAGTCAGTAAGAGGATTTTTTTTCTTAGAGAGTTAATTTGCCTATAGACCACAGTTTGTTGAGAACACATTTTTCTAGCCCTGCACTGAACTCACTCAAAAGAGCCCCATCAAAATATGAACTCAGTAATGCCATGGGACTGTCCTGGGTTCATTCTGTTCTTGATTGTTCTGATGGTAGTATCTACCCAATAACCTTAACCCAGGTCATTTGAGACATCAAGCTCCTGAGCAAGATATCGTCTTGCCGTTCTTAATTGTTATGATGTCAGTAGCTACTTAGAGAGAAAAACAAATGAAGAAGTCCTGGTTGAAGCAAATTATAGAAAACAACTTATCACGAATATAAGAAAACGACAGGCAAATTTCTTCGGACACACAATGCGGAAAGAAGCATTAGAGAATATTGTCACAACAGG